CTCTAGCTGCCTTTAACATTTTTTCTTTTATTTTGACTTTGGTGAATCAGGTGACTATGTGTCTTGGGGATGGTCATCTTGTGTAGTATTTCACCAGGGTTCTCTGCATTTCCTGAATTTGAATGTTGGCCTCTCTAAGGAGGTTGAAGAAATTTTCATGTACCATATCCTCAAATATGTTTTCCAAGTGGCTTGCTTTATCTCCTTCTCTTTCAGGGACACAAATGAGCCATATATTTAGTCATTTTACATAATCCCATATTTCTCAGAGGTATTGTTCATTCTTTATTTTTGTCTGAGTTATTGCAGAGAACAGGTTTTCAAGCTCTGAGATTCTTTCCTTGGCTTTATTGATTTTGCTGTTAATACTTGCAATTGTATTCTGAAATTCTTGAATTGAGTTGTTCAGCTCTATCAGCTCATTTTGTTTCTCTTCTTAAAATGGCCATTTTGTCTTTCACATCCTATATTGTTTTATTGTGTTTCTTAGAATCCTTGGATTGGAATTCAGCTTTCTACTGAATGTTGATAATCTTTATTCCTATCCATAATCTGAATTCTATGTCTGTCATTTCAGGCATTTCAGCCTACCTGAAAACCATTGCCAGGAAACTAGTGCAGTCATATGCAGGTAAGAAGACACTCTGGCTTTTTGAGTTGTCAGAATTCTTGTGCTGGTTCTTTCTCATCTATGTGGGCTGATGTTTCTGTTCCTTCAATCTTTGAAGTCTTTGTCCCTTTGGATGAGTTTTGTTTTGTTGTTTTTGCTTCTGTGTTGGGGTTGCTGTTGTTGTTTGTTTTGCTTTTATCTTCTTCGATGTCCTTGGGGGTTTGATTGTGGCATAAGGTGGGTTCTGTTTACTGGCTTTGTTTCTGGTAAAATTTTTGTTGGAGGGAGGAATCAAGGGTAGCTCAGCACTCCCGGGCTGCCTGCTCTAACTCAATGGGGTTGTTATCAATTCCCTGGCTTTGTTTTCCCCTGTGCTTCAAGGTTCGGAATCTGCTGCACTGGAAAAGCCAAGATGTTCCTAGATTGCTGGCCACAACATTCAGAAGGGTGATGCCAGCCAAAGTGCTTTGTTAGGCAGTGGTAAGGGGATCTGTGCTCGGTCACTCATGCCAGCAGCAGTGGCAGTGCAGTGGGGTGGATATTGGGTTGGCTGGGGTGGGGTTCTGGCACACCTGGGGCTGCCAGCTCCATGTCAGCAGTGGCAGCAATGGAGGTGGGTGAGTGAGGTGGGAGAGGAGGAGCTGGGCAACTGGGGTCCACGTGCAGTGGTGTCAGCACAGGGACAGAGCACTGGCGAGCATGGGATTGCCTACCTCTGTGTGCTGATTCTTGCCAGTGGCAGTGGTGGTGTTGGTCAGGGAACAGGGCCGCCAGTGTCTGGGCATGTTTGCACTGGAAATGGCAGTGCAGCAGCATGGCAGCAGGAGAGGTAGGCATGCTCCTACCGGCAGCAATGGCGTTGTGGGGTGCACGCGCACCCACATGCCGGTGGAGAAGGGGAGGTGAGGTCTGCCCACACATGTGTCCCAGCAAAGCATTGGGGGTGGCCGCGGGTAAGTACATGGAACCAAAAAAGAGCCTGCATTGCCAAGACAATCCTAAGCCAAAAGAACAAACCTGGAGGCATCATGCTACCTGACTTCAAACTATACTACAAGGCTACAGTAACCAAAACAGCATGTTACTGGTACCAAAACAGATATACACCAATGGAACAAAACAGAGCCCTCAGAAATAATACCATACATCTACAACCACCTGGTCTTTGACAAACCTGACAGAAACAAGAAATGGAGAAAGGATTCCCTATTTCATAAATGGTGCTGGGAAAACTGGCTATCCATATGTAGAAAACTGAAACTGCATCCCTTCCTTACACCTTATACAAAAATTAATTCAAGATGGATTAAAGACTTAAATGTTAGACCTAAAACCATCAAAACCCTAGAAGAAAACCTACGCAATACCATTCAGGACACAGGCATGGGCAAGGACTTCATGACTAAAACACCAAAAGCAATGGCAACAAAAGCCAAAATTGACAAATGGGATCTAATTAAACTAAAGAGCTTCTGCACAGCAAAAGAAACTACCATCAGAGTGAACAGGCAACCTACAGAATGGGAGAAAATTTTTGCAATCTACCTGACAAAGGGCTAACACCCAGAATCTACAAAGCATGTAAGCAAATTTACAAGAAAAAATCAAACACCCCATCAAAAGTGGGCAAAGGCTATGAACAGACACTTCTCAAAAGAAGACATTTATGCAGCCAACAGAAGCATAAAAAAATGCTCATCATCACTGACCATCAGAGAAACGCAAATCAAAAGCACAATGACATACCATCTCACACTAGTTAGAATGGCCATCATTAAAAAGTCAGGAAACAACAGGTGCTGGAGAGGACGTGGAGAAATAGGAACACTTTTACACTGGTGGTGGGACTGTAAACTAGTTCAACCATTGTGAAAGACAGTGTGGCGATTCCTCAAGGATCTAGAACTAGAAATACCATTTGACCCAGCCATCCCATTACTGGGTTTATACCCAAAAGATTATAAATCATGCTGCTATAAAGACACATGCACACATATGTTTATTGCGGCACTATTCACAATAGCAAAGACTTGGAACTAACCCAAATGTCCATCAGTGACAGGCTGGATTAAGAAAATACGGCACATATACACCATGGAATACTATGTAGCCATAAAAAAGGATGAGTTCATGTCCTTTGTAAGGACATGGATGAAGCTGGAAACCATTATTCTGAGCAAACTATGGCAAGGACAGAAAACCAAACACCACATGTTCTCACTCATAGGTGGGAATTGAACAGTGCGAACACTTGGACACAGGATGGGGAACATCACACACCAGGGCTTGTTGTGGGATGGGGGCGGGAAGGGATAGCATTAGGAGACATACCTAATGTACATGACGAGTTAACAGGTGCAGCACACCAACATGGCACATGTCTACATATGTAACAAACCTGCACGTTGTGGACATGTACCCTAGAACTTAAAGTATAATTATAATAATAATAATAATAAAAAGAAAACTCACTGCCCCGTTGAAGGAAATCAGCAGGAAAGCTGGCCAGGGTCATGAGTGGAAAAGAGTTACCCGCAGGAAATTAAAATCCCAGTCTCCGGTATACAATTAAGTATAAGGTCTAAAGTTTCATACATATATGGCATAGGAATTACAAATGAAAATTCAACTAAAAAACTGGTCTAGAATCATAAATATCCCTGGAGTCAAATAAAATCTAAAAATATCTTACAAAATACATCTACAACTCCCAACATACAGAATTCCCATGGAAAACAATCTTTATTGATGGCAAGCATAGTAAGAAATAATTAGAAGCCATACCAACAGAAAAAGTTACTTGCTAATGAACAGAAGAAATTACATCCTAAGAAATAAAACCAAAACAATCTGAGTATTAACATAAGCATATTTAAAACATTTTCGTAAGGGTATATAAATCAAGGAAAAGACAACGTAAAAAGGTGAATTCCAGAAAGAACTTTAAAAAACTAGGAAGAAACTCAATAAAAGAATTAACAGAACTACAAATTAGACTTAGCTAAAGAGATCTATGAGGCAGATACACAATAAGGAAAGAAAAAAGATAAAAACTATGAAAGAGAAATTGATCTGAGGTACAAGAATGAAAAGATGAACCATTTGTCTCATAGAAGTCCACTAGGTGAGAAAAAAAGAGAATGTGCAGAGATAATATATACAAAGAATGTGGCTGATATTCTCTAACAACAACAAAAAAGAATCAACAGATTGAAGAAATAGGAGATTGTATCTATATACATATACATTACATGCACATAAATCCACAGGTATTCACAAGTGTAATGAAATTCCATAACAACAAAGACAAAAAGAAAATATTTAAAGCTATCAGAGAGATATGAGAGCTTGTTATAGACGTAACAATTAGACTAACACTTCTCATCAGCAACAACAGATGCTACTAGATTATGAAATATTATCTTCTAATTATTGAAGAAAACTAACCATCCAGCAGGAATTCTATACCCAGGATTCTATACTTGAATCTAAATTATTAAAAAGTAAGGATAAAATAAAGAAATTTTCAGACATACAAAAATTAAGAGTTTATTACAGTCTCACTAAAAATGAATTTTGGCAAGAAAGAATTAGATCCAAGAAAAATATTTATTATAGAAATGTATAACAAATGCTGATTTTTAAAAATAACTGACATTTTGATTGGAAATAGTTTAAAATATGATGTATCTAAAATACTAAACATGATGGTTGATACAAGAAGGCAGACTGAATTTAAAGCATTAAACTAGTAGAGGCAATGGACAAAAGTACGAACTAAATGAATATACACCTAATTCATAAATGCAGTAGCCTCTGGAAAGAGAGGGCAGTTGTTGGAACTAAAGAAGTAACAGAGTGGACTTCAACCTTATGTTTGACATCAAATTTTTAATAAAATATATTAAGCAAAAAAACCAAAAACGTTAATTATGTTGAGTAAATAAATGTTTGTTAATTTGATTCTTTTATTTTAGTATTTTCTAAATATTAAATGCAAGGTGGCAGATGTAGAATTTTTTTTGCTTTATGTTTTAGAGTAAGCAAGACTACTACAAGGTATCAAGCAAAGAGTATAAGTGTTCTCATTTGCTTTGTCTTCAAAGCAACACTACTATAATGTCTTAAGCGAAGACCATTCAAGTGTTTTGATTCTAAAGCTCATAAAGCTTCAAGAATTACATAAGCTGGAAGGGTTCTAATGTATAGTTGATTTCTCACTTAATCAATCATATGAAATCAATGAAATCAATGAAATCATATGAAATCAAACTACTGTTTTATTTTTACCACTACAAGGAACGACTAGTACAATTTTACACCTTGACACTGAAATTATGGGATGTAAGCACAAGCAAATCAAAGCAGTGTGGATTTCATTTCAAAAATACACATGACCCGGCCGCGGCCCGCTGAGTGCGCAGCCTACGCCGCTCCCGCGTCCGCGCTCCGCCCCGCGTGCCGTACGTGCCGTGCGTGAGCGTGCGCGGGCGCGTCGGCCGGCGAGGGAGCAGCAAACCGCCGGCGGCTGGCGCCGCGCTGGGGGCGGGCGGCGCGGAGTAGGCGGCGGCGGCCATGGCCGAGGCGTCGCCGCAGCCCGGACGGTACTTCTGCCACTGCTGCTCCGTGGAGATCGTCCCGCGCCTGCCGGATTATATCTGTCCAAGATGCGAGTCTGGTTTCATCGAGGAGCTTCCGGAAGAGACCAGGAGCACAGAAAATGGTTCTGCCCCCTCCACAGCCCCCACGGACCAGAGCCGGCCACCGGTGGAGCACGTGGATCAGCACCTGTTCACGCTGCCGCAGGGCTACGGACAGTTTGCTTTCGGCATCTTCGATGACAGCTTCGAGATCCCCACGTTCCCTCCTGGGGCGCAGGCTGACGAAGGCAGGGACCCTGAGAGCCGGCGGGAGAGAGACCATCCGTCCCGGCACCGGTATGGCGCCCGGCAGCCCCGCGCCCGCCTCACCACGCAGCGGGCCACCGGCCGGCACGAAGGCGTCCCCACGCTGGAAGGGATCATCCAGCAGCTTGTCAATGGCATCATCACGCCCGCCACCATCCCCAGTCTGGGTCCCTGGGGAGTCCTGCACTCAAACTCTATGGACTACGCCTGGGGGGCCAATGGCCTGGACGCCATCATCACACAGCTCCTCAATCAGTTTGAAAACACGGGCCCCCCACCGGCAGATAAAGAGAAAATCCAGGCCCTCCCCACCGTCCCCGTCACCGAGGAGCACGTAGGCTCCGGGCTCGAGTGCCCTGTGTGCAAGGACGACTACGCGCTGGGTGAGCGTGTGCGGCAGCTGCCCTGCAACCACCTGTTCCACGACGGCTGCATCGTGCCCTGGCTGGAACAGCACGACAGCTGCCCCGTCTGCCGAAAAAGCCTCACGGGACAGAACACGGCCACGAACCCCCCGGGCCTCACTGGGGTGAGCTTCTCCTCCTCGTCGTCGTCCTCCTCCTCCAGCTCGCCCAGCAACGAGAACGCCATAGGCAACTTGTGAGCCCGCGTCGGCCGCCGGGAAAGCACGGGTCCTTTCCCACCCACCCGCCCGCAGCCGGGGCCACACGGCACCCATGGACTGGTGCCCCGACGGGCCACGCTTGGCTGGTCAGCGCTGCAGGTCCCGCCTGTTCCAGGGCAGGATCCGGGCCCGGCCCACTGGCCCCCTGGCTCGGGAAGGCGTGGACCACATGGTCCCCGCTGGGGCGTCCCCAGCCTCCCCGTCCTCTCTCTAACCTCACCCTCTAAACGTTCAGCAGTGGAAAGATTTTTATAATTTTAAATTATTACTGCTTTGAAATAAATGGACGTTTTAGCTCACACGGCGGCCATGCATGATTTGTGGCAAAAGACGGGGCGCAGCTGCCCCACAGTGCTGCAGGTGCCGCCAGGACAGGCTGCGTGGGCCCCCGGCCTCCCCTCGGCCGCCTCCACGACCCGGAGTTCGGGGGCTCGGGACCATGAGGATGACCAGCAAAATTCAAGAACAAAATTGCTCCAACAGACTTTTTTAAAGGAAAAAATATGTGTATCTTGAAAGCTATTTAAAATACACTACTTACAAAGAGAAAAAAAAAAAAAAAAACACATGAACTTCCCATTTAGAAATATAAAAAATATATAATATGAATATTTCCAAATGTGTATGGAGGGGTTCTTAGGAAACTTGGTCATACCAATTTGGTTATTTTTCTTCAGTCAAGCCTCTCAGTTTAGGACATTTACACACCAGTGGGTTAACTGTCAACTAGTCCATGAGCAGTATGTCAGTTACAATAAAAAAGAGTAATACTATAAGTATGTTTTTCCATGTATTATTTTCTTTTCCAGAAGAAAAGTGAAACCTTATAAAAGATGGGATAATTTCAAATAGATATGTTGTTCATGTTCTTGTAAATGAGGTCTGCAACTTTTAAAACCAAAATGGAGTGTGAATGTCCCAGTAAATCTGCATCAGATATGCTTCAGCTTGAAAGGAAATGATATCAAATTCAAGTAGTTAAATGAATCGTGAAAAAAGTGTAATCTACACAGACCACGTTATGCAACTGCTCTAGTTGTAGAAGTCTATGTATAGAGCAAAACAACTCCCTTATCATTTCTAAAAATAAATGTAGTTGGATGTTCCTCTACAGCTGGATGAGGTATTTCTTCATAATATCTTTCAAGGCATTTTAAGGGCAAAAAATGAGTCATGTTAGTTAAGATTGGAGGTAACATAGCTTAGCAGTTCAGAGAGGGTACTCAGGAGTTCTACTGCCTGATGTTTGAATCATGGTCTCCCTACTAGCTGTGTAAATTTATATAAGCCTCTTAACCACTGTGTGCCTCTGTTTTATAATCTACAAAATGGGAATATGTGTGTATGTATACGTGTGTGTGAAAAATAGATGTCATTATGCAAAATATTTCAATGTACAATCAACATCTCTTTCATATTTTAAGAACTGTAACTGAAATATTTTCTGCTATAATTTTAGGCTTTACTAAGTTAAATCTACAGCTGTTCATAATATAAATTTTATCCCCTTCACATTTGAAAATATTAGTCTGGAGATGTGGCTTTATGTAGGATTATATAACTAGATAACTTTTTTAATCTGCCTGAAGCAGTATGACTCCTCTGTTTAGACTACTCTTTTACCAAGTTCCAATTACCACCTATAAATAGAAACAGTGTGGGCCTCTTTTTTTCACATTAAAAATGAACCTGAAGAGTAAAACTTGGTTAAAAAAAACAATTACTTTGACCCATATTTGACTTTGAAAACATAATAACCAGTTCATTAATGATGCACTAAAATAGCAAATATTTAAGCGCTCTGTATATCCAAAACGATGAGCAAATAGTGAAGTAAGAATATTTGAGGTGATGAGTAATGCTGATCTCCCAAAGAAAGGGAGAGGCATCCACTCTTGGAGTGCTAGATCTTTTTGACAAGAATGCAGCTTAACTCTAAGGTTCAAAAGTCTGTATGCATGTGTGTGTTTGTCTGTTTGTGATGGGTGTGCATGTACAGAGATATGAGGTGGGCTATTGGCAAAAGACAGAAAGAACTAGAACAACAGAAACCATTTCATCTGCAAAGAAACAAAGGATATAATAATAGAGCATATATAGCACAGAAGACAGAAAAAGCATGCTGAGAACTTAAATCATCTAAAACAACTAAAATAGTTTAAATAGGATAATGTTTAATGTAAGATCATTTTCTAACTTTGTTTCAAAGTATAACCATATACCTTCAGGAAATATGAACTTATAGTAAAATAACAGATGAACTAAGAATAACTAATGTATACCCAAGAACAATTAAGAGTGCATAAAAAAATGTGTGGAAAACCTTGGAATTATATGAATATCATTTTTAAATTGTTTAAATTCAAATATTAAGTCACTGAAGAATTATGGAAAAGGACATATGAACAATCACTAGAATACATGGTTTTTTAACTTTTTTTTAATTGATGCATTTTTAGTGAGTTTTATTATTGCTTTTATTTTTAGTAGTAGAGTTTTAAGTTTTGACAAAAATTGGTCATAAAGTACAGAGTCCCCATATATCCCCTCTCCCCTGTCCAAAGTTGGCCCTATTGTTAACATCTTGCATTGCCGTGGTACATTTGTTACAACTGATTTATCAATATTGATACATTATTATTTATTAAAGTCCAGAGATTACATGAGGGTTCATTCTTGTACAGCTCTGTGGGTTTTGCAAATCCATAAGATCATATATTTAACTTTAGAGTTTCATACAGAATAATTTCATGGCCCTAAAACTGCCATATGCTCAACCTATTCACTCCTCCTACTCAACTCCTATCAACCACTAATCTTTTCATTGTCTCCATAGTTTTGCCTTTTCCATAAAGTCATATAGTTGGCATCAGGCAGTATATAAAGGCTTTTAAGACTGACTATCTTTCACTTAGTAATAGGCATTTAAGGTACCTCCATGTCTTTTCATGACTTGGTAGCTCACTTCTTTTCTTTTTTTCTTTTTTCTTTTTTTTTTTTGTTTTTTGAGATGGAGTCTTGCTTTGTCTCCCAGGCTGGAGTGCAGTGGCGCAATCTCGGCTCACTGCAAGCTCTGCCTCCCGGGTTTGCACCATTCTCCTGCCTCAGGCTCCCAAGTAACTGGGACTACAGGCGCCTGCCACCATGCCCCGCCTGTATTTTTTGTATTTTGTGTGTGTGTGTGTGTGTGTGTGTGTGTGTGTGTGTGTGTGTGTGTGTGTATTTTTAGTAGAGACGGGGTTTCACCATGTTAGCCAGGATGGTCTCAACCTCCTGACCTTGTGATCTGCCCACCTCAGCCTCCCAAAGTGCTGGGATTACAGGCGTGAGCCACCACGCCCAGCCAGCTCATTTCTTTATATCACTGAATAAGACAGGCATACCTCATTTTAATGTGCTTTACTTATTGTGCTTCACAGATATTGAATGTTTTACAAATTGAAGGTTTGTGGCAACGCTGCCTCACGCACATTTATCGGCACCATTTTCCCAAGTGGATGTGCTCACTTAGTGCCTCTGTGTCAGGTTTTGGTGATTCTTACATTTCAGACATTTCCATTATTATTTTATCTCTTATGGTGATCTGTGATCAGTGACCTTTGATATTTAACTGTAATTGTCTTGGGGCACCATAAACTTACCCATATAAGACAATGAACTTAATCTATAAATGTGTGTTTTCTGACTGCTCCACTGACCAGCTATTATCCTTATCTCTCTCTCTCCTCCAGCCTCCCTATTCCCTCCCTGAGACACAACAATATTGGAATTAGGCCAATTAATAAACCTATAATTGCCTCAAAGGGTTCAGCTGAAAGAGTCTCACTTTCAATCTAAAGCTAGAAATGATGAAGCTTAGTGAGGAAGATATGTCAAAAGCCAAGGCCAGCTGAAAGCTAGGCCTCCTGTGCCAAACAGTTGACTGAATTGTAAATGCAAAGGAAAATTTCTTGAAGGAAACTGAAAGTGCCACTCCAATGAACACACATTTGATAAGAAAGTGAAATAGCCCTATTGCTGATGTAGAGAAAATTGGAGCAATCTGGATAGAACATCAAACCAACCATAATATTCCTTTAAACTAAAGCCTAATCCAGAACAAAGCCCTCAGTCTCTTCAATTCTATGAAGGCTGACAGAGGTAAGGAAGCTGCAGAAGAAAAGCTGGAAGCTAGCGGAGGTAGGTTCCTGAGGTTTAAGGAAAGAAGCCGTCTCCATGACATAAAAGTGCAAGATGAAGTAGCAAGTGCTGATGTAGAAGCTTCAGCAAGTTCTGCAGATCTAGCTAAGACAACTGATGAAGGTGGCTATACTAGACAAGAGATTTTCTGTGTAGGCAAAACAGCCTTATTTTGGAAGATGATGCTATGTGGGACTTTCACAGCTAGAGGGGAGAAATCAATACTTAGCTTCAAAAGAGTTAAAGGACAGGCTAACTCTCTTGTTAAGGGCTAAAGAAGCTTGTAACTTTAGTTTGAGGCCAACGCTTATTTAACATTCTAAATATCCTAGGGCCATTAAGAATGATGCTAAATCCACTCTGCCTGTGCTCTATAAATGGAACAGCAAAGCTTGGATGACAGCACATTTGTTTACAACATGATTTACTGAATATTTTAAGATTACTATTGAGACTTACTACTCAAAAAAAAGATTCCTTTCAAAATATTACTGCTCATTGACAATGCACCTGGCCACCCAAAAGCTCTGATGGAGATCTACAAGATTAATGTTTTTTTCATACCTGCTAACACAACATCCCTTCAGTAGTCCATGGATCAAGGAGTAATTTCAACTTTCAAGTCTTCTTGTAAGAAATACATGTAATAGGGCTATAACTGCCACAGATAGTAATTCCAAACCTTTTAAACAGGATTCACCATTCTAGATGTCATTAAGAACATTCATGATTTGTGAAAGGAGGTCAAATTACAACATAGGCTGGGCCCACTGGCACATGTGTGTAGTCTCAGCTACTCAAGAGGCTGAGGCAGGAAGACGGCTTGACTCAGAAGTTTGAGTCTAGCCTGAGCAACACAGTGAAAACCTGTCTCTTAAAAATATATATATATATAAACATGAATGAGAGTTTGGAAAAAGTTGATTCCAAGCCTAGTGGATGAATTTGAGGGCTTCAAGACTTCAATGAAGGAAATCACTGCAGATGTGGTAGAAATAGCAAGAGAACTAGAATTAGAAGTGAACCCTAAAGACATAACTGAATTGCTACAGTCTCTTGACAAAACTTGAACAGATGAGGAGTTACTTCTTAAGGATGAGCAAAGAAAGTGGTTTCTTGAGATGGAACCTACTCCTTTTGAAGATGCTATGAACACTGTTGAAATGACAACAAAGGATTAGAATATCCCATAAACTTACTTGATAAAGTAGCAGCACTGTTTGAGAGGACTGAAATCAATTTTGAAAGAAATTCTACTGTGTGTACAATGCTATCAAACGGCATCCCATGCTACAGAGAAATTGAAAGGATAAGTTGACCACAGCAAACTTCCTTGTTGTCTTACTTTAAGAAATTGCCACAGCCACCCTAACCTTCAGCAACCA